CCTGGTGCAGCTGCTTTGCAGAGTGCGGAAGTAAGTCAACTTTGATGTCTGGGGGTGCCGGGGGTTGCGCCCAGGGTCCTGTACACTGCCGCTGGCTGTGCACATGTCTCTGCATTGCTTGTGGCAGTCATAGTTCAACCCCGCATGCTTGCTGCAGAACAGCACGGGCATCCCTGCACCTTTTGAAACGTTCCTTTGGCTTGCGCTGGGACACGGGCCCATTTTCTTGGGCTGTTGCCCTGCCCTGCAAGCTTTTTGCCTTCCTTCACTGTGTACCCTGGATGTGAAACCAGTGTCCCGGCACCAAGCGCAAGAAAACATGAATGAAAGATGCGACCTGTCGCAGCTCAACGCGCTCTTTGCAGAAGGCAAAACGCATATACCATGGGCCCAAAATTGGGGCCACAAATTTGAAAGGTGGGCTACCAATTTTAGTAATGCCCCATTTTTTGGCCCAGAATTTGGCCCCTGCTTTGGGGCCACAAAACACAACAGGAGCTGATCAATACGGGCAGCAAGTGTGCTACTGCCGCCGCAAGCTGACAGCAGCACATATCCGTGATACTGCACGTACATTATTACAGATGGATGGTGGTTGCTAACCTTAAAACACTAAAACTTTGCTGGGGTTGTTTGTTTACAGTGTTGTATCCTTTTGTGCTGATCACGTGTTAAATTGTTCCTCCATTCGCTAGCGACCTTGGAAATTTGTGATCTGAGAAACATGAAAAATGTTTTCCCCTAGCGATGATCAGTTCCTCAGCACTGGGAAGTGCCTGAGATGATGACGCAAATCGAATTACAAACCTCAATTGGCAACACCATCCCTAAACGATAGATTTGGACATGGTATGATATGGTTTCTTTTCCGCCTCACGACATGACTGTAATCATGTTTTGGAATCAACATTTGCTCATAATTTCCTACATATTTTTCATTGCATGTGATTACGTTAAAGGTCAAGCCTTGCTGCCATGCGCATACAATTCCCGACCAGAATGAACGAGTGTTCCGATGAAGTGGGTTGTCCATAAATTTTAGTACGTGGTGCCGAATGTGACGACGAGAGTTACCAGAGTACAGCATATATGGGGTTCCCCAGTTCTGTTTGTTGGTTTAGAAGTGTTATAAACCAATAAATTATACTTTTTGGAGCTTGGTTCACCGATTTCAGCTATCATAAATCAGCTCTAGATTTCATGACATCCTCATATTTCTTGCTTACATCACCATTTTCCTATGTGCGTCAAGACATCACGCCTCCCGCTTAGGAGTCCTTCGCGACGTCGCTCTCCGTCTCGACGGTGCGTTGGCCCTATGAGTTTTGGTTGGGTTAACACTGGGATTTGGGTTTATGCTAGTGAACTATAAGATGTTGCTTGTTCCAACATGTTCTAACATGTTCTAGGTAAGATAAACCTAAAAGTAGTTCAAACATGTTCGTTCACATGTTCTATCACTTGTAGAACTGGAGTTTATTTCCAATGTTTCCATCAATGGCTAGTATAAATATGTATAAATAGTATAAACGAGCAAAATAGGGTTAGTTTATGACATTGAACAATATTGCCATGTCATAGCATGTTAAAGCTAGTTTTAACTAGATTCTAGATGGGGTAACATCAACATCTAAATTTTAAATCTAAACATCAGAATAAGAAATCACTGGAGGCCCCCAAATCCTTCACAGGAGGCGGAGCCCCTCCAACCGCCGTCGGAGCCCATCCAGGAAGCATCTCGGCCGCCGTAGCTGAGGAAGTGGGTTGTGTCTGAACATGGCTCTGGGTAAAATTTAACGACCTCACTACAACCCAACCCTGGAATCATGGTGAATGTATAGGGAAATCATCCCCAAATACAGCCTACAGCCCGAGAGCTGGTTAAGAATCCGAAAACTTAAGGCCCAGGGTCCCTCAAATTCTTATTTTTAAATGCCGGCAAATTTCCCCCACAATAGGCCAAGGGTCCCTCAAATTCTCAGAGCATTCTTAGTTATGTACTATTGCAAGCATCTGCACAATTTGGAGCGAGTTTAAACAAGGTAACGAGGTGGAGTTGGCAGATTTGACAAGAGGCTTGAAGGTTGTAGGTTCGAATCCCGGTGCCGCACTCTTTGGGCATCTAAAAGGGTCTGTCAATATGTCGTTTTCTTGGTTTCCTGTAGTCTGCTTTTCACAATCACACCGTGGGCGCAACTTGTCAGAGCGAGTGGGAAAACAATGTTCCGGGTCCCCACGTCTATCCAAGCATGCACGAAAAAAACATTTGTTCGGAGTTTGAAAACTTGTTTTTCTGCAAAACCTCAGTTTTCTTCAGGGGAATTGCAAACCTCACGTACAAGCAGTAATTTCAGAATTTGGCAATCCTATTCCAGGGTCCCTCAAATTCTTAAAGTACTATGTGTTTGGCATAGCTGAAAATATGTAGCCCGCCTTGGATTCGAGCCCCTCAAATTCTTATACAGTGAATTCTTGTAAAATACTCAAGCTGTAGCCTTATTCTAGGTTAGGGAAATTTTATCATTTACCCAGAAATATGGCCACGTAAACGAGTTTTATTGGAGAATATGATGATCCAGCTATGGATTTTATGGGGAGCAAAGTGCAACACACAGTTTAGGGGTGATGACACCCTTGGGTGTCATCAAACCCGGCTAGCTGGGAAATTCCCGAAGTTCATGGCGAATTTTCCAGCGAACCATGTTTGATTACCGGAGGGTAACTACCTTCGAAGTGTTCGCATGGCATGCTATGCCAACAATGATGGAACATGAATTGAATGGTTGAAATGTGTTTTGTGATATTACCATATCAGAAGCGGACATGCTGATTTGGCTTGCAAATATGGAGATTGATGATTGAAACAACTCTTTTTGGGAGTTATGAAGCCAACCACATCCAACAAAACCCATGAGCGCAAAGGCTGAAACCCCGACACCTTGGTTGGAAAAGTTTATTTGCAGCTGTAAATGGGTTTGTCATGGTTTGTCTGAAATAGGGTGCCCCCAAACCCATTGGATTATAATTTGTTTTCCATCTTAAGATATCGCAATTTAGGTGATTTTAGGGGTATATCCCATTTTCAGACACACCCAATCTGTGCTGGTTGAGTTCCATGTCACATCTTTCTGGTGTCTCCTTTGGGTAGCTATATTGGCCATGCAAACTTCAACGTTTTTTTCCAGGTTTGCAGCCTGAAAAATTGGTGACTGAGCCACTTCCAGGGTAGTCACCCATGCCATGCACCTGGCATACCTTTCAGTAAATGGAGTGATTAAAGATTTCGAACCGCCCACGCAATGACCATTGCAATTGGAAATTAGTGATTTGTTTTGCAAATATATATATATTTATATTTATTATATATTTATATATATATATTCATAAAATTATTTATATTATTATATATATATGTTATTATATATTTATTATATATTTATATACATCTATATGTATATACATACATTGGGTTCCGCATGATTTTGCATGATTTGGCGAAGAATTACTATTCAATACAAGCATACTGTAGTCAAGTTGCTTGAGTTTCTCTAGTGGAAGTGACCCAGCCAACTAAGGAGAACTCGGACTCGGACCCCGAGTTTTTCGCGGAAGAAAAGTCCGTAACCTGGCAAAGTGGTGGCTGGGCCATGTAGATGTTGCAGTTAAATGGCAAATAGAGAAACTGGGCTGGACTAAGTAAGTAGTACTATGGCTCATAAGTAGTAATTATAAGAATGCAAAAAAAAGCATAAGACATTACAGCATTTTTGTTTGTACAGTACATTATTTAATGATATTTATCTGTGTGTGTGTTCGTATGCACGCATATGTACATATATATATAATATAGATGGGCATACATTTATTTATGTGAGCATGCCATCATAATGCAATATAAAATATATAACATATTCCCAAGTGAGCACATAGCACCCCCTGTCTATAGCCTTATGAATTCCTACGGTTTATGATTACAGCCTAGCAATTCCCAAAACACTAGAAAAGTAACATATGGAAGTTTCCTGGCATGGGGGTACCCCTACATCATCCATTTTAACCGGATTTTCCCTGATAAACCATCCAGCTATTGGGGTACCTCCATTTACGGAAACCCCCATGTCCTAGCAAAGTATATTGTGATAATTGATCTCCTTTCGTCTACGATGCACGTTTCAATTTTGTTCAAATGCTCCATCCATTCTGGGATGATGAGCACTGATGAATCGGTTACCTGGGGGTGAAATCCACCAAACTGGCCAACCAGTCATGGGTTTCTGAGGCACTCGGTATTTTATGAACGTAGGTTTCTTAAAATGGATGGTACCCCCAGATCATCGAAGTCATGGACCATAACATAGCATTGATAGTATTGAAACAACCATGGTTGTTGGGGATCCTCCAATTTCAAGAAACCCTCAGGACACCAGAGAAGAAGAAATCGATCGAGGAGCTGATCAAGGACAGATGTCACCCACCGGTCAGGTCGGTGTCATCAAACATGGCTGGATGGGAACCCCCCCTATAAACAATGGGAAAATCACGGGACAATATTGGAAAGTCATGGGACACACATAAGAAAATATGGGAGATTATGGGAGATATCCTATCATAGCGGAGGATTGAATGAAAAAAAAATCAATAATTTGTCATATTGATTCGTGCTGGGGCTTGGCGCAGACTCCGAAATTGGATTGTGGAATGGTTTCATATGTTGTTTCATACTCTAGGGGTCCCAGTATATATATGTATATATAACACATATATCTATATACACATTATGTATAGAGAGAGAGAGAGACACGGGGAGAGAGAAACAGAACCAAGGAACTTATTCCTCATTTTTTTGTTCGATGGTCCCCACGAATCATGGCCAAGATTCCCCTTTTTTGTTGGCAATCACAATGATTTTGACACTTGATACTCAAATGATCTAAAGTTCAAACATCATCATCAACAAGCTTGCTCCCAACACCAGTGCGATTGGGGGTAAATGTGGTAAATATAGAGGTTACATATGGTTATATGACTCATGGCTATCATTTATCTTTAATGTGTTGGAACAACACTGATCAACATATCCTAGAGATGAGACCATCACCGACCAGCTGAAGGAGCGCAAGGAACGTGAGAAAAACAACACCCCGGAGGCAAAGCTGGATGTTGTGTTTTCTTGTTTTGGGTATTTTTTTGTGTGTTGAATGATGGTTGATGTATGAATTGATATGATCTAATGATATTTTCTATAGTTGATGATTTTATTATTGTTATATTTAAACATGTGTTTGCAATTTTCCTATTTGCAATGCACATGATTCCAAACTGATTTCTCCCCTTTTCCAGGCGATCGCCAAAAGGCAAGCAGAGGAGGCGGCCGAGAAGATCGCAGCCTTCAAGAAGAATGTGCCTCGGGTCATCGTGTCGTCTTCTGGTAATGCACCTTTTCAAAAACCATGGCGATGCCACAATAATTACTGTATAAATATGGGATATTTGGGTATTTTTGAGGCAATATCTTTCGAAGTCTTGGAGATTTGAACAGGAAGAGAGAGGAGAGAGGACATGTCCAGTTTAGGGGAAAGTTTAAGGCCCAGACACAAACATCAGAAAAACCAGGGGAGTTTTGATTAACCACACATAACCAATGAATGATATGTTAATCAATGAAGTTGGGTATAATATGTCGAATGACTAACATGTTATTGCTGCGGAGATGGGGACGACGGCCACAGGCCATCGATGTTGTTGGGCAGGAACCTCACAAATATGTTGTCAGCAATCCCATTTTGTTTGACATATTCGTTGGTTTGGTGTAGTTTCATAAATTCATAATGGTGTTTGTTATTATTTAGTGACAATACTCATATATATATATATATAACTATGTATATATATATATACATGTGTGTGTTTTGTTGTTATATACAGATATATATATGTATACATATACATATATGTATATATGTATGTGTAAATCTTTGCTGTACTTACATGACAACATAGCTGCAACTTCACTGTCAACGATGATTAGTGTCTAGAACTCATCTGGTGTGTGTGTGTGCGCGCAGTACTGCAATTCAGCTAGGTATATTAATTATTAGTTTCAAACGAATCTTATATAATGGTTCTTGATGAAGTTAGGGGTTAGGGACCTATTTTTAGGGCCTTAAGAGCGCCCTCGAGTCATCTCTGAGATCGCCCTGGATGCGCAGAAGATGCTGAAAGACGAGGAGGTTTGGGTATCGCGTGGGTGATCCAGAGGTCCTATAGCTGAATCATAGTACCGCCATGCCGCCATCCTATGGATGCAGACCAGTACCAGTAATGGTTATTAATGGCCAATAATGGTAAATAATGGTTAATAATCATGGTTAATAATCATGGTTAATAATGGTTAATAATGGTTTATAATCTGCAGCAAATCCAGGATAACAATGGATACCATTTGGTTATGACTAACAGTTCGCCATGGAAAATCCCTGAAATAAATGGAGGTTTCTAGCTGGGAAAATCATGCATTTCTATGGGCCATGGCTTCCATGGCGATGTTAAATAACAAGAGGGTAAAATCCTACGATAATAGCGGTCAACTACTATCTACTGATCTATTGTGTTTTTTCTCGATGGTGCGTTACATTTGATAGTTGATTTTTCATGTTGTGAGTCAGGCAGATCAAGGGCCTTTACATTCTTCATGTCACATTTTGAAGAGATAAAACATCGGTTGATATAGGGGTCAAACTGTGAGAGACAACGGGCGAAGCTGATAGAACAACACATGGTCCTTTTGCCGGATCAGGAATCACTACAGCTATTCACGGCGGGGAGCAAGCAGCTAATTACAGACGACAGCAGACGACTGGGATTACTTGGCCCCACCTATGTGTTGAGTGATTCCATCCTTAGCGGTCAATGAAGGTGCATCAAGGGCCCTGCTGAATTTGTGATGGCAACTTCTTTCTCAGCTCAGCTGTGAAGATCTACCCTGAGAGTACTTGGAGTGAACAAACCTGGACCTGCCAGATGATCCTCTTGACCTTGAATTCAACGTACAGGAGAAGAAAAAGAAAGAAGAGGAAGAAAAAGAGGCCATGGGGAAAAACATGCCCAATTTCACCTGACCTTAAAAAGCAAATCGGCAGAAACATGGTGTTTCCAATCCTTTGATGGGGAATACGCTCTTTTGAACCAACTTTGATTGCCAGACACCAGTGAGGCAGCCCGAAAGAAGCAGTTCTTAGACGACATCAAGGAAGCCTTGAAAGTGGTCCGCCGCTCCACGGCAGTGGTAATCCGACATGGCTAGCTTGGGAACCCATGCTATTTGAATCTATTTGAGATGATTTTCCATCATTGTCCCATTAAAATGGCCATTTATGGGGTTTTCCGGGGCCATGCTTGATTACCAGAGGATTGGTATTCCCAAATTTTTGGGTGAGGATCATTAAGTGTCAGTATAAGTGTCATTTGTTTGGGGGGAGAGGGCTTTGATGGGGTGCATATGCTTTGCTAGTCTGACCTCAGCTTCAAGAATCACAAGTGGTCTGGGAATCATTTAAGAATTTAAGAAGTTGATTATTTTCCGGAGCCAGATTTACAGGATGCGTATATAATCTATAGCGGCGATAACCTTTCACTCCGTAACCCAATCCCAGAATTCTGTTGGCTATGTTATCATTTTGCAAGCTCTGCGTAATTCAGAACCTGGACCAATCTCCATATTATATTATATACACAATTTTACATACATGCATGCATGCGTACGTACGTATGCACGTACATGCATATACACATGTAGATATGTATAATCTTAAAGAAAACAAACAATACATGTTTATTTGATGTTTACATTAACATAAATGCTGTACATAGAACACACACACACACATATATATATATATATACATAAATAAACGGAAACTGCATTTTTATTATTATTTTATTTTCCGTTATTATATATGTGTATATTCTATTCGTCCAGTTGGCTCATCCGAGGCAAACTCGCCACATCACCTGAGGAGGATCCCAGTGGAGGTGTCGCACCCATCCCCGAAGAATTATTCTGCGATGGTCCACAGTCAAATATGTATTGTATAGCATGGTATATTTGTATAGCATTTGATTGTCATATTTGTATAGTATTGTGTAGTATAGTATAATGTTAAATATGTATAGTATACTTGATTCGGTCACAAATTCATTATATATTTGTATAATTCTACATGATTATGTGTGATTTGTGCATGTTCATGTCTACATAAACTATAGAAAAGTAATAGTGTATGTGTATATCTGTATATGTGTGTGTACCGATTGATTTATAGCGTAATGCAATGTAATTTCATTAATTTGATGTACTGTTATTTCAGGTAATATAATGTAATTTAATGTTATGCAATGCAATGTAACGTAATGTAATTGTGCAATAAGTTTAAATGATACTGTAATGTATGTTCATGCAATAAAATGTTCTGCAATGCAGTGCAATTTCATGTAAAACATGTAATGCAATGTAGTGTAATTTCATAATAAATTGACATGTATTGCAATTTTATGCAAACAAATCTCGTCTAATGTAACAAAAAATCATGTAATAAAACATTGTAAAATGTAATGTAATGTAATGTAATGTAGTGTCATGTCATGTAATGTAATGTAATGCGTGTATGTTATTTGTATGTGTGCACTTCACGCTAGGTAGAACAAGTCGAGCGGGATTATGGATGTGTTTCAGCATGTTCCAACTTTTGGCTTCCAACCGGGCCTATTTCATATAATCCTGTCGTCACAATGGATGTTCTTTGTCGTTCTGAACGTGAGAATATGATTCCATGCTGCAGTTCTTGCTGGACACAGTGGTGCTCCAAATTCAACATCCCCAAATTGGAGGAATTGAAGTTTTGAGAGTCAACAAACAAGAGAATTTATTGCAACTATATTTAACTGATCCAAATAAAGACTTTGTTTTCGCTCTATTTTCATCCCTAGTATTTACATGTACTTACAGTTTGTGGTGGGCATGCGCAGGCCTTTTCATCCGTCAAATCTTGCCACTGGGGTCATTGGGATGTCTACGGGACGATTCGACCATTGGCGACATGTACCCAACATGTTATGTGAAACTGCCAGGACCTGGCCTGACACTAAGTGAAGCGTTTTCTCGGGATTTCTGATGATTTCTTGGGGCCCAAGCCGGTGCTAAAAACGATTAGGAGGTCAACCACCAAGTGAAGAAAAACTCTGCGATCCATTTTGCTTCTGTACCCCTTTGAAACGGAGTTCAACAACACACACAAGGTAAATTGTAATATATATATATAATGTATATATATATATATTATATATATATATTATATATATAAATATTTATCATGGGCAATGTTCTTTTCGTGCTTGGGAGCACCGTAACTATCATACCTTCCCTTGAGCCGCGGGTCGCATCCCCATTGTTTGCTGATAGCTGGGCAATCCAAGCAGGGTGGGTTGCTCAACCGCCCGAGGAGAGATCCCCCTGGTTGCGGGAGCACTGGCTCAACCACATTCAGCAAACGATCAATTCTGGCCTTCCACTTCTTCCTCCAGAAAAATCGAACCCAAGAAGACTATATATATATATATAACCTATATAATATAGAACATAACAACAAAGACATGGAGCGAGAGAGAGAGAGAGAGAGATCATCCTCCCAAGCCTCCGTGTTTTTTTGATGCCAACATGTTGAAACCTGGCGCAGGTGAGTTGATGAAGGCCGCAAAGGCCAGTGTTGCCCAGGCCTTGGCTGCTGCGACCAAGGCAGGAATGTTCTGTTGATCAACGCTGCAGTGTATTTGAAATATGAACTCCCCTTTTTAAAGGTAGGGTTGATGATATGCATTTGAAGATATGTTTTCTTGGTGTTGATTTTTTTTTGGGGGGATTATGTGCATATATATATATATGTTTGGTATATACTTTCCTTCATGGGAGGACGTGTGAGGGCCAACCGCTGTTTAGGAGGTCGGTCAAGATTTATTGACCCACAACCGCGCGACGTTTTTCAGGCTGGTATTGATCAAGAAGATATCGTTGCAGCCTCACAAGCAGCACCCGAGGAAAACGAGGACAGAGGGGTGGGGACCAGAGGCGAAGAGCTCAAAATTCATCAGTCCCACAGATCCACAAATACACACTGACTGGTTGGTGGTTTGGAACATGAATTTATGACTTTCCATATATTGGGAATAGTAACCCCAACTGACAAACTCATATTTTTCAGAGGAGTAGGTATACCACCAACCAGTAATTATACCCTCTGGTAAATTAACATAGCTATGGAAAATCACAATTTTTAATATGTAAATCAATTATAAATGGACAATTTTTAATAGCAAACATGTTCAGTTTGCTGCGCTCGGAAAACCTATTCGCATTGGGCGCCAACATTCGATCCCAGGGTCGTCCCTGGAAGAGGGTCGTCCCAACGCAGGAAGAAGAGGATGAGTCCGGTCACCCATGGCGCTGTTGGGATGGGTTATGCAGGCACCTTCGACCTGCATCCATAGCCGACATAGCCGACATAGCCGACATTGGAATTTCACATTGCCAGAAAGATGGCCCATGGAAACTTAAGGATGACTTACCGGTTCGAGAAATGGTGGAGTTTCATAGCAAACAGTGTTAAATTGCCTGAGGCTTACAGCCTTGCTAATGAAATGCGTCTTATTCACTGGGGTCTCAACCAAATTGGATGGCTGGCTGCAGAATGACTAATTAGCGGCCTCCTTGACATGTGGTGTGTATATATATGTATGTATATATATATATTATATATATATATTATTTTGAATCCCAGACTTGGATCAAGGGAAGTTCAGCCGCTATTTTTCTTGATGGTAAAGATAGCGGTAGCGGTTTCCTGTGGATTTCTTGGACATCAATCCTTTGATTGAGCTGGCTGACTGGCTGACTATGCCTCGACCAAGGAAGGACAAGGAGAAAGCCCAAAAGAAGATGAGTAAGAAGGACACCCGTCCGGAAACCAATCTTCTGACGTTTCTTCTTGATATGTTCAAACCAAATGCTGCACATCTATATATCATTATATATCCCACATCTAACAAATTCACACCAAAAATAAGAGCTGAAATAAATAAAACATGGCCGTTTCCTGGGTCCATGGCGTTCGGCCGCTGTGAATTTTCCGAAGGAGAAAAAGAAGATTGCCAAGGTTGCCGACGCCACTTGGTTTCAACGGCTGATCCTCCAGAACAACGGGCCACATGGGGTCTCCATACAGATCCAGTACTAAACCAACATGGCCACCAATCATGGTGGTAATAGTGTTTGATATTACTAACATTTTACTAACAATAGTGATTGTACCAATGGGAATTTCAGGATCCTAAATTGGAGGTACCTACCATTTTAGGATCCTGAAAGTCCCATTGATTGTAACAGACCTAAACCAGGGTTCTTGTGCAGTGGAATGGTCTTGTGAAGCCGAGGTTGCTGCCATGCAAGCCAAAGAGGAGGCCCGATTCCCGATGATCCACCGGGATGATGTAAAATGTGTTCATTGACCCCCAATGGTTGTTAAATGGGATGTTTTTTTATTGGATGTACATGGATGTACCACATTAATGTATTTTTTTGGATGTACCACATTAATGATCATTAATGTAATTGGACAGCACTCGAACTAATTCTGATACTTTCATACATTTACCATTTCCAGCTTAGATCGCTGAAGGGCATGTATCTACACAACAGACAGATGACCGAAGAGTGTCTATATATATTGTTTGCATCAGCGATATATAAATCCGACTTGCAGTTGAATTGGTTTATTGAAAAGGACCATAGGGGCCTTTGAAGCCTTTTGACATTGGAATCCAATGATAATTTCGGCACATGTATAGCACACTTTGCCAATCCAAGTTGTTATTCCTCTTTGGAAATGATGCAGTGCCTGGATTATAAATCACTTTTTGACCTTTTTGGGGGTTACCTTAAGATCCATTCCATTCCATTCCAACCATCCCTTAACTTCCACCGTTGGGCACTGGGAACATCCACTTTGAAGTTGAGAAGCGGCTCAAAGCTTCAACTCGGCTCTGGATTCTGCACTGTTCCAGCTTATTGCATCCAGATTGATGAAATTAAATTATATACGGGGCAAAGACTTGGTATGAATGCTTCAATGCTATAAATATATAACTGGTTGGTGGTTTCTAACATCTTTTTTATGGCTTTCCATATATTGGGAATAGTAACCCCAATTGACAAACTCATATTTTTCAGAGGGGTAGGTATACCACCAACTAGATAATATATCCCCATCTAAATCATATATCAAGAATTATCAATACCTAATTTTCCCAACATCTCCCAGACGCCGCGGATGTCGGCGTAACTAGTTTATAATATTCCAAACAACCCAACGAGTGGTAACACAGTGCTGTTCCATTCGATGATCCCCGATTGACGCCAGGGCAGGTCCATTCCAGACATCGCAAAGGCTGCCACGCAAGCAGCCAAGGCCCGCAGGTGATATGACTGGAGCATATGGAGCAACATTGCCAAGGCTGCTAAGGAACAAACTGAAGTCAGGTGAAAGCATCCAAATTCGTTATAGTAACCTACATTATGTGACCTCAACTTGGAAAAATAATAATTTTGGATCTGGGACCAAACCCCCCCAAAAAGATAGAAACATAATCGCTAGTTTTGTGAGACAAACAACTTTGCTTTTTTTTCTCCTAGGGGCTACTAATGATATATCCATCCCTCCAGTAAGATGACCCAGGAGTCAGAGAGTTGTGTTCGCCATGATTTTCGGGGTGAAAAAATCGTGAATCAATCAGCCCTTTTTTCTTGTTTAGCCAGCAGAAATCAAACATAAATTCAACATCATGATGGCCAATGTCAGCAGAATTAAATCATGGATATTAGCCCTTTTACTCATGAATCAATCAGCAGAAATTAAATTGTGGGCCAATATCAACATCGTTTATTCCGGAGAAGACTTTGCCGCCCCGTTTTTAGAGTGGGACAACTTCGGGACAACCCTCAAACACTATCAACCACTCATGATTTTCTTCCATGACATGTTTGGCTCAAAATCTCTCCGCCTAGGGGCGTAGTGAGTATGTAATTTCTGACGATGTCCGGTGCACAACATGGCTATGTGGATCTATCATTTGCTGACAAAGGTGCAGCTGATGAAACTGATGAGGTCAATCTTCAGATGCTGTGCTTGACCGGAGAAGGAGTGACACTAAGCGTCCCTCGCTCTATGCTTGTGTATGACCTACGTAGATTGGTGTCGCAGAAGATTCCATGCAAGCCAGGCGCAAAGCTCACCGTGCATCACGTGAATGGAAAACTGACGCTTGATCAAACCTTGGGAGAGCACGGGATTGTTGGCAAATCGGTAATGCTGTCCCGCACTTACGTGCCAACCAATGTGTACACAGCATGGCGTTATCCCTGTGGGCTCCAGACTTGTGAGAGAGCGTTGGCGATAGAAGGTGTAGCACAACTTGAGCTAGTAACGGGTGGAGAGTATTTACATCATCTCCCCCGCAGCCTTGCAAGACTGACTTTTTTGCGATTTCTTCAACCAAAGCCTAGAGCGGGTGACTTTGCCATTGAGTCTTCAAAGCCAAAGCCTGGAGCGAGTGACCTTGCCGTCGAGTCTTCAAAGCTTGAGTTTTGGAAGGGATTTTAACCGAGCGGGTGACCTTGCCATCGAATCTCCAAAGCTCGAGTTTTAGCAATCAGTTCAACCAAAGCCTAGAGCGGGTGAGCTTGCCGTCGAGTCTTCAATGCTTGAGTTTTGGCTGGAATTTCAACCAAAGCCTGGAGCGGGTGAGCTTGCCGTCTATGATTATGATGAAGTTGACTAGTGACTCGTGACTAGATCATTCACATTGACTAGCCTTGAGAGTTGTAGCGCGTAAAGCTGAGTTGAAATTGGTTTGTAAAGCCAGCCGAGTGGATGTGGCAATCCCAAGGACAGGCGTGTTTCATAGCTTTGCGGCATTAAACGTGCAAACATGTATTAAAAATATAGTGTTCAGGTTCTAGAAAAGCAAGTGGGAGATGGTTTACCTGGATTTGCTGAAGATTTTTGTTAGTTTCCCATTGGTTTGCCGACTATGACTTGGGAATCTAATGGTAATATGCTTGATGGTGTTTGGTCCCCTTAAGCATAACCCAAGTTTATCGCAATGTGGCGCCCCCAAGTTATACGTTGGTTTATAAACCTCATTACCTATAGTTGTATAATTTTAATTAGAGGTATCATAACCCGAATCGTTATGGGAATTATGTCCGCCAAGCAATGGCGATTTTGTGGCCACAGGGGGGCCCCCACTTGGCATGGGATGGAGGCGCTAAAACGTTTTCCAGGCCTGGGGTGGCGATGCTGAAGATATCAAGCTGGCAGCCGCTGCTCGACAGAGAAGATCTTCCACCCGTGATTTGCCGAGTCGATGGGAAATCTTATGTTTTTTCCCCACCTGCCAGGTGAGGGTTGTTAGATTTTATGTCAGTTGCCTCCTCCTGCCTCGTCCTCCTCCTCCTCCTCCTCTCCTCCTCGTCCTCCTCGTCCTCCTTGTCATCCTTGTCGTCCTTGAAGTCCTCGTCGTCCTCGTCGTCCTCGTCGTCCTCGTCCAACTGCGACCCGCGATCCACAGTGTTCTCTGCCGGACCTCAACCGCGACCATCCACGCCCAGTGTTCCCTGCCGGACCTCAACCACGACCATCCCCGCCCAGTGTTGCCTGCCGGACCTCAACCACGACCATCCACGCCCAGTGTTCCCTGCCGGACCTCAACCGCGAGTATCCCCGCCCAGTGTTCCCTGCCGGACCTCAACCACGACCATCCACGCCCAGTGTTCCCTGCCGGACCTCAACCGCGAGTATCCACGCCAAAAGATATGCCACATAGAGTGCCAGAAGATATGCCAGATAGAATGTTAGAAGATATGCCAGATAGAATGCCAGAAGGTATGCCAGATAGAATGCCAGATAGAATGTCAGCTAGAATGCCAGAAGATATGCCAGATAAAGTGCCAGAATGTTTGCCAGAAGATATGCCAGATAAAGTGCCAGAATGTTTGCCAGATAGAATGCCAGCAGATTTGCCAGATAATATGCCAGAAGATATGCTAGATAGAATGCCAGATGGAATGCCAGAAGATTTGCCAGATAATATGCCAGAAGATATGCCAGAATGCCAGAGAATGCCAGAAGATATGCCAGAACATATGCCAGAAGATAAGATATGCCAGAAGATATGCCAGAACATCTGCCAGAAGATATGCCAGGTAGAATGCCAGAAGATATGCCAGATCGAATGCCAGAAAATATGTCAGATAGAATGCCAGAAGATTTGCCAGTAACAAAATGTATAAATGTCATGGTGGGGATCACACGAAGTAAAGTAATTTGAAAAAATATTATTTGTTGGGTTCCTTGAACAAATCCAAAATGGGGATGGATGTAGGTGATGTAGGTTGAAAGTTTGATAACCCCTTAAGAAGGCCTCGTTCTGACTTCTTCAGGTGACCGTCACCTGGGCACCCTGGGACGTCACAACTCGAGTGTTTTACCATCCGAAATCCAGGTTATTTGGGTCCATTGTGTTTCAACCAGGTATCTCAAACGAACAATGGGGACGACATTGATCGCACTGGAAGGATATAATTACAAGGCTGTCCATGTAAAAAACTTGCTTGTCTGGAGCATTTGCTATTGGAAATTATTTGACCTTTTTTTGGATGCAGATGATTTAGAAGATGTACATTTTAAGCGTGTGGAATTTCCAGCCAGTCATGCGTGTTTACCGGAGGGAACTTTGATATCCCACAGCAAAGGGAGCCCCAAGTGCGCCATTTATAGCCGTAGGGTGGAGCCACTTTTGTCAGGTCATGGGTTGAATTTGTGGTATGACGTTTTGAATCATGGAGTGATATTTGAGGAACGGGATGATATCTGAGGAATGGTTTGTTGGTGAAACCGTTTTGACGAATACCCGTGGGTACACGAACATAGATGTGAAAAAAATATGGTTTACCGTTCGGAAAATGATCTACACATGGTGGATTTTCCACATTTACCATCTGGTTATTTAACATAAGGAAAATGGCCCATTTATAGATGGTTTACCTATTAAAAATGGTGATTTTCCATGGCTATGTTAGATAGCCAGATCGAGGGTATGTTGGTTTACAGGAGGGTATATCAAAATGCAATGGGGCTGAGCAGAACATATTACCATTCCCTGAGGGTATGATCCAGGCGTTAAGCTCCCTCTGTGCTTCAAGCGCTGAGGAAAAAGCTTTAAAGATTGCCAAAGGCATCCTGACGGGTGATTCTTCGGCTGCTAGTTCCAAAATATCTAGAGGGTACATATCCATTGGTAATCAACCATGGCCGAAAAAACCCATCCCAAACTAAATGGATGTCTTTTTGGGAACATAAAGTAATGTCAACCCTGGATTAATAAACCCCAAACGGCTGTTTAATTGGGAGGGTACCATAAAAAAAGTATCAAATAATGACTATTGGAGGAGTACCTGAGTACCCCCCTCATTTTTCATAAACCATGCTTTATTAATGCGGGGTTGACATTACAAGTGATGGTGATTCCGGAGCAACCAGCATGGTGCTGTCCTGTTGAAGGAGTAAGTAGCGGCCATGTGTGCACCATGTAGTACTCATAATCTGAATCTATTATTTTTGTAGGTATGCGGTATGCTATATTCGAGATTTGCCTTATGCATGTATATATATATATACATAATATAAGCATATACACATATACTTATTTTATGTGCATTCAGTCAGTAGATTTGTTGTACTCAAGATGTGTCGCACATGCATACACACACATATATATAGTATATATATGTGTGTTTTTGTAATTATTCCCGAGGGCGTTTGAGCGAAGGGTTCTTCTAATAGTGGGGGATAGTGGGGGGCTGTCAAACATTTTCACATATTCACATCTTCTTATAACATCTTACAATCTTCACATCTTCACATCTTCTCATCTTTACATCTTCTCATCACCTCCTCATCTTCACATTTGTTCATCTTCACGTCTTCTCATCTTCACATCCTCACATCTTTACATCTTTTCATTTTCACATCTGTTCATCTTCACATCTTCTCATCTCCACATCCTCACATCTTCAAATCTTCTCATCTTCACATCTGCTCAGCTTCACATCTTCTCATCTTCACATATCTTCACATCCTCACATCTTTACATCTTCTCATCTTCACATCTTCTCATCTTCTCATCTTTGCATCTTCTCATCTTCACATCCTCGCATCTTCACATTCTCTCTTGCCCTCTTGCTCTCTTGCCCTCTTGCTCTCTCCTTCTTTTCTATTTCTCTCTTGAAGGCGCGGGGCAATGCCAACGAGACGGCACGAAACGCAACCTTTTCGCACGAAATGATGTTCGATCGAAAAAAACTGAGGTAACATTGCGATTTCACGGGCGCGGTCTCTGTGCGTAGAAGTGTTTGTGCGTAAAAGTGTCTGTGTGTGAAAGTGTCTGTGTGTAAAAGCGTCTGTGTGTAAAAGCGTCTGTGTGTAAAAGCGTCTTTGTGTAAAGAGTCTGTGTGTAAAAGTCTCTGCGTGCAAAAGCGTCTGTCTGTGAAAAGTTCTGTGTGTGAAGAAACTATACGAAAGATACGATGCAAACTATTGTCTTGTGTTTGTGATATATTGTCTTGTTACTACTCTTCTCGTCTGCCTATAATACATCTTTAATATATTGCCTTGTAATATAGTGTCTCCATACTAACAACAGAAGACTCTGCTCCTCTACGCTCTCAGGCCATGCGTCGTCTAGTATATGTATATATACATATATATATATATATATATAAATGTGAATGTATATTGCACGTATTTGTTTTATGTATATTGTATATAGTTACGTTCAAGTGTTCAAGTTCAACCAAAACATTGTATACGCAACAAAGATCGACACGAAAACGTCCACTGTCGCTCCGTCACCAGGAGAGATCACGGTGGACCCCAACACGGATCCCAACAAGGACGACTCCTCCAGTAGCAGCTCCAGCAGCTCCAGCTCAGTGGAGGAAGAGGAGGTACCCTGGGTGGAGGGCATTCGGAGATGGGGAAATTGAGAGGTGAAACATACCCTTTGGTAAACTAACATAGCTATGGAAAATCACCTTTTTTTTTCATGGGTAAATCAACTATAAATGGCCATTTTCAATAGCTATGTTAGTTTACCAGAGGGTAGAATGTGTAGATTTTAGACATCGCACTTTTGAGATTTGAAGAGCGACATTGGTTATTTAACAAACTAACATGGGTGTTGAAGATTGAAATACTTCAGGGCTATTTGCGAACGCCAATAGTTACTCATTTGGGTGATTCCATTACAAATTCGCCCGTCCATACTTGGGAGGATTATGCCATTCTTGGACCCGCTTACCATGAACCATTCATCCGAGCTTCAGTTGCCCCAAGGTGCTTGGAAGATCATCATTAGAGCGATCCATTTTTTATAGATGACATATACTGTACATTTAATTTTGTATATATATATATATATATATGTAGACACACATGTATATATATAATATATACCATCACGTTATTTAACGTAGCTATGGACAATCTCATGTTCAATGGGTAAAACCGGTAAAGCATGTTAAATCATCTACACATGGGCGCTACCATAGCTATCCATACGATCCATACAGGTTTCGCTCGAGGTCAGAGGATTTGATGACCACTGATGCTGGTAGCCTCCAGCATCGGTACATTGAAACAGCCCTGTGCTGGGATTTGTTAAAATATATATATTTAAATATGTTGAAACATGTTTTTGGATGTTTTTGGACCAGGGCATTGTTTCATTTCAATCCACTGATCATTGGCTTCTTGCGGGAGTGTCTCCTCATGTGTTTTCTTGTCTTGTTCTGACCCTTGTGTGCTAGCTGGGATCAACGCAACGCTGTAGCGACATTTTCCCTCTTGAATGTGCCATGCATGTGTCAAGTTGAACAATTGGGAAGGGGAATCCTAAACATAAGGTGTCGTGTTTTCGCCCCTCCCAAATTCCACATATGTCTATCCCTCCGAAAGTCCCAATGACTCATGTTGCCTCTGGCTGATCAATTCTCACCATTTTGTTTGTGGCTAAGATACGAATCCTGCTGGACTTGTTTCCTTGGATAGATATGGAGAACCCATGGTTTTCCTAGACAATTATTTTAATGCAAGGTGGCTCCCTTATGGTTTACAACAGTTAGTGGAGTCATAAATGAACTTTTAGCGATACTCAGGCCAAGTATAGGGAACCACCTTTTGTATCCTTTTGTCGCTTTTGTGTGGTGGATTGGTATGGGATTTTCCTGGGTTCCATATCTCTGGTAATTATGGCCATTTACCAGTTATAACTACTTATAACCCCATTTATAGAATGTATAATCCCAGTTATAACCAGTTATAACTAATAAATGGTCATCACTGTGGTCGTTTGAATCACGGGAAAAAATACTGCAAAAATCGCTGCCAGGACCTTGGAGCAATGGATCGTCACAAGGCCGTCCATGCCGCTGGAGTCGATGAAGAATTCGTGGCGTGGCCCTCCTGAAATAAAGGTGGCGTCTTATCCATCAAAAGCTCCATTTATAAGGGATTTTCCATGGCTATGTTAAATAACCAGATGGTAGTTAGTATGAGTATAGATTTGGAATGAACCAAGCATCCATAAATATACTAACATCTACTGGTGCTAGTAATATCACCAGTTATTATACTCCCTATGGATCCATGGCCACTGTCTGAGAAAGGTACGGCTAACCTTCCAAATCATAGTAAATCGTACCCCAGCCCAACTTCCTTTCAGAAGCTACGGGCTGGATCCATAGGGGGTGAAGTACTCGGGATCGGTGGATTTGTGGGTTGCTTGGTGAACAGAACTCCAATTTCACTATGATTACAGATATGATTACCATTACCATGATACTTGTATAACTATATATATATAACTATATATAATAGCTAATGGGTTGATAAACCAACTTATAGCAGGGAGGCCCATGGAAGGCCCAGGAGGTGGTTCCGGCTATATCTATAGATACCTGTAGCCAGATAACCTCTAGAACTGCCTCAGCAAAAAACCAAGGCTTTCAAAAAACCAGGACTTCATTTTCAATATATAGTTTTTGGGTGATCCAACATCCAACATCTGCCACAGGCCAAGATGGACGGTATGGCGGCGATTTATTACTGGGGCTTGAAGCAACAGGCCGAGGCCGCCGCGCCGGTCGCAGCGGTCGCACCGGTCGCACCGCTTGCGGCTGCGGCGCTGGCGCCGACCTTTGCGAAGTCGGCACCCAGCAAGCCGATGGCACCGTGATGGCCGAGTCAGGGGATCATGTTCCGGACTGAATGGTTGCCCAAGTTTCTTGTAACATTACCATGTTGTGATTATGGTTGGATATTCAATGGTGAGTTCACCATCAGTGACAGGTTTTAAGTGGTTTTTAAGTAGTATCACAACTACAGGGATAAAGTTTTTTACAGTATGTTTGGTTGCGAGGCTTTCAATGGTGAACCAAGAAAAAGTGCAAAAGAAAATCAGACATCAAAATGAAATCGAGCAAGAGGGAGTGGTTCCTACATTTTTCTTTGGGGCTCAAGGTCCCATAAAATGCTAAAATGCGGCAAGTCATTGCAGGACAAAACCTGCTATTTTTGTCCTGAAATCGTCACAGAAAGCATGTAAGCCCTTCCCTTTTTCAGTTCCCTTAGTATTGGATCTTCTTTTCGCTTTAGGGCCTACGGCGGAAATTCTATATTCAAATGAAATGATATGTTTTGCTATCATCGGGCGTTGCACTGCGAGGAAACGTGTTGTTAGAAGAGGTCTTGACGATTGCTGCTTGCATCAGCTCATGATTGATGCAAAAGCTGATATGGAAAGAAGATAAAATGATAGTTCTATTTTGGCTTGACTCGGTATTTGGCCAGTAGTTTGGTGGTTTGGATGGTGGTTTCAACATGTGTCAGTTTTTAAAAGAAAGGCTCCTACGAGCATTGGGCGTATTGCAACACTTCGTTTTATCCAATCATTGGTTCAAGGGAAAGCTAGAGGAAACCCCACTTGATGCGAAAAAGACATGATTTTCTATAAAAGGCGTTCTTTGAATCAACTCATTGATTTATAAACGGCATTCAATCTATTCCCCAATCATATCCCCATAAAATTAACCATAAACTTGTTTGAATGCCCAGGGATTGTGGATCCATGATGAACATGTATCAACGATTTTTTTGTTATTTTGCTATGCTTTTGCCATGGTTTACTACGCTATATCATCGTTTCTGTAGAGGCTTGAAACCACCAGTGAGGCTGCATATGTGGCCTCCTAGGGAGTCTCCGCGTTTTGGCTGCGAGTGCTGAGCTAAATCGGTTAAAGATGCTACAATAACCATTGCACCATGTTGATGTAACTCACAAAATACAGATGTCATGGGATTTCTAGCTGATTCATGATAGCTAAGTTGGCGAACAGAACTCCAAATTTACTATGTTTTAAATGTTTAAATGCTCAGGACTATCGTATTCATGGGGGGAAACTAAACCAACAAGCATAACGTTTGGGGGCCCACATGGTATTTTCACTTGGATCCAACAACCCCCACCTGGTCGGAGACCCCAACAATGGTTTTCCGGGTTTATTAAGTGCTGTATGAACCACTAATAATTAATATTAGTGCTTATATTCATCATCATTGAAGGAATCGGGGACGGTTGGTTGGTTGAATCCCCATCATACTTAGGGGATCACACGATGAGAGAAATACCCTCTGGTTATTTAACAGTTTGCCATAGAAAATCCACCCATTTTTAAGTTCCGTAAACCATCTATTTCTATGGACAATTTTCCATGGCGAACTGTTAAATAACCAGAGGGTATATATATATATATAACCATCCTGAAGTAGATAGAATCTCTGGAATTTCAAAAAAAAAACGGTCTGAAAAAAACCTATAGATAGAATCCCAAAATGGCTCAAAAATCCGGGTCGATGATTGGTAAAAAAAAGGTCCCTCAAAAATGATCACAAAAGCGGTCATTTAGCTTGTGATTTGGTTGTTTGGGCCTTTGGAATGACTACCAAATGTTGTCATTATGCTGGTGTATTAGGTTCTGGCATGCGAATTTCAGCCCAAAATCTTCCAAAGAAATTGTCACTGTTGCTGGTGGTTCCCAGAAATATAGATCCTTTGGCAGTGGTATTCAATAGTCAAATCCAAGAAAGGAATGGGTGTGGGTCAAATTATCACACCCCAAAATTGATAGTTGATTTTTTAAGATGTGAAATTTTGAAATTGAGCTGGGGCCAAATTTGACCCGTACCCATTTAGCTACAGTGTGCTCACCGGACCTCCTGGAGATTTTGAATTTGGACATCGATCAAAATCGGATACTTTAAAAAGTAATCTGTATAGAATTGGGTGTAATTGGGACAGAAGGTTTTGATCCATCCCCATATTCTTCTATATTCTTTCATATTCTATCTATGGTATCAACCACTGTGCTGACCCCTCCCTACTGCATTCTGCTAACAACGGCAGGTTTCCAAAAACCATTCCATGTGTTGTAGATTCTTTGGCAATGGTATTTTTGGTTCCCGGGATGCCCAAATAGTCAAACCCAATAAAGGAATGGGTGTGAGTCCAAATATCATCCCTTACAAAATTGATAGTTGATTATTTAAGATGTGCAATTTTGTAATTGAGTTGGTGTGCTCACCGGACCTCCTGGAGATTTTGAATTTGGACATCGATCAAAACCAGCTACTTTAAAAAGTAATCTGTATAGAATTGGGTGTAATTGGGACAGAAGGTTTTGATCCATCCCCATATTCTTCTATATTCTTTCATATTCTATCTATGGTATCAACCACTGTGCTGACCCCTCCCTACTGCATTCTGCTAACAACGGCAGGTTTCCAAAAACCATTCCATGTGTTGTAGATTCTTTGGCAATGGTATTTTTGGTTCCCGGGATGCCCAAATAGTCAAACCCAATAAAGGAATGGGTGTGGGTAAAATGATCACCCCTACAAAATTGATAATTGATAATTGAAGATGTGCAATTTTGTAATTGAGTTGGTGTGCTCACCGGACCTCCTGGAGATTTTGAATTCGAACGTAGATATAAACTGTTGGATAGTCAAACTCTATATAAGATCATGAACCAACAGTGGTTTTGAATACAGCCCAAAAGGTATTTTCAGAATCCATAAATTATAATACCACTTTGGATAATATATTGATATAGCACATGTTGTTAAATACCACTGGGTATAATCCAATTAAGAAAATTGTCTTTGACAACATGTGATTGTTTTTCCAACCGGGACCTTTTCAGGGATATTCTAACTATAGATCTTGCCAGGGGCTGACAACTCGGCTCCCCCGTAAAGGGAGCATAGCCAAAAAACGTGACGGGATTCCAGAATCCCGCCATCACCCCCCTATGTGGGGGACGCCCCGGAAAGCGACCGAGTGTGCTACTATAGTGTGTAAGGTGCACTCTGTGTGAAATATATGCTTTGTATGTGAATGATATCAAATATGTAGATATAATATGTATGGTGTTTACTATGATTGAAACATATGCTTTATATGTGAATGATATAAAAAATATGTAAATATAATATGTATGGTTGGATAGTCAAACTCTAGATAGAATATCCTCTAGATCCATGAAAAGACTGAATTTTTAAAGGATGCTTGGAATTAAGCATGTATTTGTGGTGCTCCCTGGCCCTTCCTCCACATCTACCCATCCAAAGTTCATTCTTGGAGCTGTTTGAAAGCAAGCTTTAAAAGGAAAATGGCATTAAAAAAAAAGGAATCCGAGATCTCACCATCCAAAGTTGAAATTGCAGGTTTTGAAAAGAAACCACAAAAGGAAAATGGGATGAGAAAAGAAATAATCCACGATCTTACCATTCAAAGTTCAATCTTGCAGGTTTTTGAAAAGAAAGCTGCGAAAGGAAAAGGAGATGAGAAAAGTATAGAAAAGTAGGAATCCAAGATCGACCATCCAAAGTTCATTTGTGCTAGTGCTGTGCTAGGACAGTTGGGCAAAACTATAGATAGAATATCCTCTAGAACCATGAAAAGACTGAATTTTTAAAGGATGCTTGGAGTTGAGCATGTATTTGTGGTGTTCCCTGCCCCTTCCTCCACATCTACCCATCCAAAGTTCATTCTTGGAGCTGTTTGAAAGCAACTTTAAAAGGAAAATGGCATTAAAAAAGTAGGAATCCAAGATCTTACCATCCAAAGTTGAAATTGCAGGTTTTTGAAAAGAAACCACAAAAGGAAAATGGGATGAGAAAAGAAATAATCCACGATCTTACCATTCAAAGTTCAGTCTTGCAGGTTTTTGAAAAGAAAGCTGCGAAAGGAAAAGGAGATGAGAAAAGTATAGAAAAGTAGGAATCCAAGATCGAGCATCCAAAGTTCATTTTTGCTAGTGCTGTGCTAGGACAGTTGGGCAAAACTATAGATAGAATATCCTCTAGAACCATGAAAAGACTGAATTTTTAAAGGATGCTTGGAGTTGAGCATGGATTTGTGGTGTTCCCTGCCCCTTCCTCCACATCTACCCATCCAAAGTTCATTCTTGGAGCTGTTTGAAAGCAAGCTTTAAAAGGAAAATGGCATTTAAAAAGTAGGAATCCACAAAGTTGAAATTGCAGGTTTTTGAAAAGAAGCAACAAAAGGAAAATGGGATGAGAAAAGAAGAAATCCACGATCTTACCATTCAAAGTTCAGTCTTGCAGGTTTTTGAATAGAAAGCTGTGAAAGGAAAAGGAGATGTAGAAAATACAGAAAATGTCGGACTCCAAGACCCCCAAATCCAATTCATTGTGCTAGTAACTACTAGTGCTAGGACGTTTGGGCAAAACTATAGATGAATATCCTCTAGAACCAACATGAAAAGACTGAATTTTTTTAAAGATGTTTGGGGATTTAAAGCATGTCTTTGTGTGTTCCCCCCACGCCCCTTCCGCCACATCTAAACCATCTCTCAAAGTTCATTCTTGGAGCTTGTTTGAAAGCCAGCTTGTACAAGGAAAATGGCATTAAAAAAAAAGGAATCCGAGATCTCACCATCCAAAGTTGAAATTGCAGGTTTTGAAAAGAAACCACAAAAGGAAAATGGGATGAGAAAAGAAGGAATCCACGATCTTACCATTTAAAGTTCAGTCTTGCAGGTTTTTGAATAGAAAGCTGTGAAAGGAAAAGGAGATGAGAAAAGTATAGAAAAGTATAGAAAAGTAGGAATCCAAGATCGACCATCCAAAGTTCATTTGTGCTAGTGCTGTGCTAGGACAGTTGGGCAAAACTATAGATAGAATATCCGC